AGACTACACAGCGCAACAACCCAGAAGACAGAAATCTTCATACTCTGATGACGGAGGCAGTATGACCTCTGAAACGTTGGTTAACATCGACCAGACTACACAGCGCAACAACCCAGAAGACAGAAATCTTCATACTCTGATGATGGAGGCAGTATGACCTCTGAAATGTTGGTAAACATCGACCAGACTACACAGCGCAACAACCCAGAAGACAGAAATCTTCGAGGTCCTCTTTCTTGGCATGGCTAAAACAGCAAAATAAAGAGACGCTGCTTATTTTCTTTCATTACAAAGGTACTGTATACCATGAGTTTGCTGTACAAGGTCACACTGTTAACCATAATATCCATTTAGTGGTGTTGAGATGTCTGTGTGATGGATGCAGCGGTGTCGTAATCAGCCAAAAAGAGGAAGCTGTAAATTTCCTGTGACGCTTTAACCGTTCACTCAGTCCAGCTTGTGACAGTTTTTAGATGAACGCAGTATTCCACAAGTGAAACATTCTTTCGCAACAGATACATTTCCTTATGACATTTTTATGTTTTCTGAGCTTAGAAGAAAATTTGAAGAAAAAAAAATTTGATGATGTGGAAACACTTGGACTCCAAATGCCAAATTTGAGAGATACTCCCAGCATTGGCAGAAATGGTGAAACAATTGTGCACTTGCTGAATGAGCCTAGTTTTTAAGGGGAATACCATAGCTTAGTTTCTACTGAGTTTTTGATCAGGTCTTGTATTACTGAACAGAACCTGAGACTTTGGTTTGTAGTCGTTATTAAGTTGTGCAACTCCTCAGCTAGCAATCACTCCTGAATGTTCCCACCCCACCTCAAAACATGATTCCATCAACTTGCTGGGTGGCATAAATCTGAAAGTTTGCGACGAGACATAAATCGGAGATGTACGCAGTGCAGTAATCAGTTGCAGTAGCAATAATTTTCTTTGTTGTTGTAGGTTTTCCAGGCTGTGGAGGTGTAATGACTGCAACATCTGGTGACATTCTGTCCCCAAACCATCCTAATAGCTACCTGGAAAATATGGACTGTGAGTGGCATATTCAGCTGCCAGTGGGAGAGCGGGTACGCCTCATGTTCCTGGCTTTCTCGCTCGAACCGTCGAGTGGCTGCTACTTTGACTATGTTGCAGTGAGTAAAACTGTTATCAGCTTCTCTAAGTTTCACTGATGATTCCTGTAAACAGCCATTTTTAAACTGGTGACAGATAACGAAAGCAGCTTTGCATGCTATATGTGTGTCTGTCTGTAGTTCTTTGATCTGAGTCCAGCCAAGCACCAAGTCAGAAGTAAAGCTTTAAGTACTATTAGTACACATGTTTAAATTTCATTTTAAAATATATCGAGTGCATAACACCTTGTTGAAATAGTCGGATATTGCTGATGGTGGCCGATTACGCGTTTCTTCCACCTCGCGACTTTGATGCCTTCGTGCGAATTTATTACAAGTGTTTTGGCACAAAAGAGTATGAATATATATTACATACGAGGTGCGATCTGAAAGTTTCCAGACTGTGTCAATAGAGGGCGAACCGGATGTAGTACGAGCTTCTGCCGCTAGGGGGTGCGGCCTACATTCATAGTGAATCAGTGTGCCAGCCGGCATCATCGAATTAGCATTTGGTTCTTAGTTACGGGCGTTTTGGTAGTGCATTATGACGAGCGTTCTGGACGACCATCTTCGAGCACAACGCCCGAAAATGTTACGAAGATTCGGCAGGCCATTCACGAAGATCGACGTCGTACCGTCAACGACTTGTGCGACATTGTTGGGATAGGCTATGGGGCCTGTCAGCTGATTCTAAAGGAAGAACTCCACATGCGACGCATCCTGTCTGAGGACCAGAAGCAGAATCGACTTCTCGTTTGTCAGGAGCTCAAAGATCTTGCAAGAACCGACCCCAACTTCCTTTCTAAGGTTTCCTCTTCTCAAAGATGAAAATTCAGCTAAAGGGGAGGAGATTTGAGACGATAGAAGAGATTCAGACAGAATCGCAGATGGTGCTTGGCAGGCTGACAAAGAAAGATTTCCAGGGATGCTTCCAGGCTTGGCAGCGGCGCTGGGATCGTTGTGTTCACTCCCAGGGGAACTACTTCGAGGGTGATGGATGAATTTAATACCTGAGATAAGTGACGGTTTTTTTTTATTATTTATAGGCGCAGTCTGGAAACTTTCCGATCGCACCTCGTATGTATACATATGCACACAAATGTTACATTTAGACAAGTCCAACCTCTGTATATCAGGCACATCTGAAATTTATTTGGCTGTCACCATAGGAAACACACTCCACTTTTGTGCAGACGTATTGTTTCGAAAGTTAATTCACGGAGTTTAATGCCACATCTCTGCAATTCACACGCACACGTACATCAGACCGTAAGTGTAATGTTCTACTTGTCTCCATCTTGCATACGTTACTGGAAGGGTGAACGTCCTCTCGTCTTCACCTTACGAAGCACATAGCAGTTTTATATGTATCGCAGTAAATAAGTGTTGTTAATTATCCCGATGAACATATTTGTTTGAGTACCGACGTACGAAAACTTGATGTTAAGAAGTTGAATAACTCTTAGCTAAATTCCAAGGCTGACATTGAATCACGGAGAGTGCACTGTCTCTCGACAAATATCAATAACGACTGACTTTCAATTCCGCGGCTGACATCTATCTCACGTATGTGAAAGCTTGTGTACTGGTCCTTCGAATGAAATCGATACACGTAACTTTCAGTTTAGAGTTTTCTCCATTAGAGTGCGTTAGTTTGTGTGCCCTGATATCGGCCAATAGCTACGTAGAAGGATTATTGATTTACTTGACTGCAACAGCACGTCACAGCATTCTAATTCGGAAAGTCGTTTTACACATGCTGCCATCTGTACGCTACTTTCAATGTGTACGAACAGTTGCGTAAGTTTCGAAAACGTTTTTGATCATTGCAATTCATATTGAATATTAATTTTTTTTTAATATCCGTCACTTGAATGTGTTTGGATTCAATTGTAACACCTTTATTTACATATGGTGAATTGTGTGCGCGAATTATTACGTATGAAGCTACGCCGCGCTTAGATAACCGTAGTCACTATTTGTTTCCTTGCCATAAAAATCTTTCTGCAGTAATTTTGTGCATGTGTTAGTCTGATGACGTATCTGTGCACGTATAGGCACCATTTGGAAATTATAAAGAAACGTCCCTGTGCATAATTCCTTGCTGATAAAGTCGGATGTTGTTGACCGTGGCCGATTTAGCGTTTCTTCAACCTCGCGACTTTGATGCCTTCGTGTGAATTTATTACAAGTGTTGTGACACGAAAGGGTATGAATTTTTTTTACCTACCTCTGGCACGACGTCCATACAAAATTTCAGACCATCCATGATTTATTTCGAAAATTCGTGCCCAGGTATCCTTGTTGAGGTGACGCTGATTACCCCTGTTGGGTTGAGTTGGGTTAGGTTAGTGGGTCATCTGCGCAGTAAGTGATGCGCAATAATGTGATGCATGTCGTCTATGTTAAGGCATCGTATGAGTTCTATTATCGATTTCTGCATATGAAACACTCAAATAAATCAGTGTTCTTAAATTATTGAACAGTCTTGTTTTTGAACCTCTACCATAGCTCTATACTTCAAAGATTTTACATTGGTTTCTTTCTTGTTGAACTCGATAGACTCTTGGCTCACGTCAGTTAAGGTTGATTTTACGCAATTATAGTTGTTGACTAGCATGTGTGATGTGCTTACGCTTAAGCACTATTAGTACAAATGTTTAAATTTTATTTTAAAATATATCGAGTGCGTAACACCTTGTTGAAATAGTCGGATATTGCTGATGGTGGCCGATTACGCGTTTCTTCCACCTCACGAATTTCATGCCTTCTTGCGAATTTCTAAAAAGCGATAAGACATAATAGAGTATGAATATCATTAACTTACCTGTGGCATGACGTCCATACAAAATTTCAATAATTTCTGAGCATCCATTCGCTTTTTCCAAAATTCGTGCGCAGGAGACCATTTTGCACTGATGCAGATTACCCCGTTTTGGTTGGTTTGG